AAATGGCGATTTGACATCTCTCTAAATATCCACTTTCAGCTAATTCATTTGTATTTATTACAATTGGATTGTCTGTTGACGTTCTTGAAAAAAGCAATAATGGAGATTATAATAATAATAATAAAACCCTGTCTCCTTTGCAGCGCTCTTGAAGCACGTGCTCTGATCTTATAAGGAATTCGTTCAATTGCAATTTCGGACAAACCGAGTACAGACTGACTAGTTGAAGATAATGAGAATGCATCACCATATTTCTTTGTTATCATTAAAAGCAAAACTTGGAAATATAGTTAAGTTTACGTCTGTGTATTAGAACTCTACAGTATAAGAAACGCCTTACATATTAAACTGTGTGTCACTTTTAAACGGAAAGAAATACTGCGATTGGCCACGTACGTGTTTTTGTTGCTCTACCTACTACCTTCGTAGTTCTCTACAGAAGCGTGTAAACTAACATTTTCAATACTTCTTTTGTCTGCTTCAAGTTGCTACCTGGAAGATATTGAACCAATGACCCCCTGCTAAAGGTATCTTGTATCTGATGAAAGATAGATAAGAAATGTTACTTCAGGTATCTCTTGACTGAAACTCGTAGATGGTTATCTAGGTTGAATAAGGAATAAATAAATAAATATCTGTAGTCTAAATTCATGTTTCGTTAAGCCTAAAGAGTTATCTTATTTTGTTTGATTAAATATTTAAAACATAATGCTAGTGAATTGTAACTTATTTGATCGCTGCATTGTTCGTAGAATATGTGCTGTAACCTATTCTGAAAACTGTTTTTTTTAAATATAGTATTACTTACTTTCACTTTGATAAATGCTAACGAACATTTAAACCTATAGATGCAATTGTTATTATGAAATTCCTTATAGATATATTTTTAAAAAACTTGTTTTACAATATTCATATTATTCAACGCACGTTTCCTTTTTCTTAACAATGAGTGCCGAACTTCAGATCGAAAGGTCCAAGGTTTGAGCCGCTATATTCCATTGCACGAGCTCTGCATTTTCAACTGTTGATGCATTGTCATCATGATTATAGTAAATCCTGCCATTCGGTGAAAGGTAGCGGGCGTTGTTGACTGGATTGCTCTTCCTCTGATAATTTAAAATTAAGGATAACTATTTTGTGGCCTCTGATAATCTGATAAGCCGGTTTAGCTCCGTTGTGTCACATAAGGGGCTCTTGAGTTTGTGCCTTTGATCTCTAGAATAGAAAACCTACTGTAAAGGTTTAGGTTTTTTCGATACAAACATACATTATCTCAACCACGAAACGACTGAGGATGGAAACGTATAACACATCATTCTCGACAGTAACGTGGCCATTTTCCACTGTCAGTTTATCAAGCAGTAATGATTGTGAAATTCGTCCATTTATAATGGCCAATTCTTTTTCTGTTGTTTGGTTTTTAAAGCATCAAAGCTCGAGAGTAGGTCCTTTTCCAATTCTTGGTCTCATGCAATAATGTTTGTGACATTGAATCGTTTTTAATTTACTGGTTATCATGCAATAATTCTTGTGAATGAACCATTGTTCATTGTATAGTTTTCATGTAGTAATGCTTGTAATGAACCATTGTTCGTTGTTTAGTTTTCATATAGTAATACTTGTGAATGAACCATTGTTCATTGTTTAGTTTTCATGTAGTAATGCTTGTGAATGAACCATTGTTCATTGTTTAGTTTCATGTAGTAATGCTTGTGAATGAACCATTATTCATTGTTTAGTTTTCATGTAGTAATGCTTGTGAATGAACCATTGTTCATTGTTTAGTTTCATGTAGTAATGCTTGTGAATGAACCATTGTTCATTGTTTAGTTTCATGTTGTAATGCTTGTGAATGAACCATTGTTCATTGTTTAGTTTCATGTAGTAATGCTTGTGAATGAACTCATGAAACTAAACAATGAACAATCGAACAATGGTTTATTCACAAGCATTACAATTGTTTAGTTTTATGTAGTAATGCTTGTGAATGAACCATTTTTCATTGTTTAGTTTCATGTTGTAATGCTTGTGAATGAACCATTGTTTAGTTTTATGTAGTAATACTTGTTAATGGATCATTGTTTAGTTTTATGTAGTAATGCTTGTTAATGGATCATTGTTTAGTTTTATGTAGTAATGCTTATTCATGGATCATTGTTTAGTTTTATGTAGTAATGCTTGTTAATGGATCATTGTTTAGTTTTATGTAGTAATGCTTATTCATGGATCATTGTTTAGTTTTATGTAGTATTGCTTGTTAATGGATCATTGTTTAGTTTTATGTAGTAATACTTGTTAATGGATCATTGTTTAGTTTTATGTAGTAATGCTTGTTAATGGATCATTGTTTAGTTTTATGTAGTAATGCTTT